CCGCGTTTGTACACAGAGCAGTTGGTACTCCCCAAAGTTGTGGGAATGAACATATTTCTCCTGAATGAGGCACATTGGTGACTGGACACAGCCTCTGCTAGAGCAAGAATGTGGTTTTATGGAGTAAAGTTTTAATTTCTGGATCCTAAAGAAATGCACAGTCCTCACAAAGAAAGACAGTATTGAAAACAGACTCACAAAGTCAAAGCAAATCTTAGGAAATGTGCATGAGATTCTGTGCGCACTCACCTTCACCAAGACTGCCTCAGCAGGAATGGCTGAGGCAAAGATTCTGTTAAAAAAATCAGAGAGCTCTCAGCTATGGATTATTTAAATCATTTAGTGCTGTTTTTTGCCTTGACTTTCAGTCAGACTAAGTGTGCAGCCTTTGGGAGGTTTCCCCCATTTGGTTCCTCTCTATATTATTTTGAACTAGTTTCATGGCCAGGAGGCCTATAAAGGAAGTAACCTGTAGAGGAGGTAACCTTGAATTCATCTGACTAACACATACTCAAGAGACACTGCCATTATACAGTTTCATTTTGCTTACACCAGCCCTGTTACAGCCTAGATTTCTAAGGCACAAATTCTAACTTCACACGTGAAGAACAGTAAGTTTTATTAATAAAAGATAAAAAAGGAGGCCTTCTCTTTCGAGTAATGGTAATTACCTACTTTGCACCAATTCTCTTGTCAAAGACAACTATATTAAAAAAAAAAGAGACGCATAAAATAAAATCTGCCTCAAGGCACTGAAGAGTCACCAAGGAGAGATGAGTTACTGGGTTAATATTCAGAAGGTAGAAACTCACGGAGATGAACACTGAATTTTGGGATGCTTTTCCCCAGGGCCTCTGCTGAGTCCATGAGAGGCAGCTAAAGGGATTGAGATGCTAAGCAATACTTTCCATAGACTCATAAATCTTAAAAAATATCATTGGGTTATGATCTTTAAGGGCTATGTCCTAGGAGTAAGCGTGAAGCAGACATCGAGTGACCTTTAAAGAGACTGTTATTCAGTTTCAAAAGACTTTAGTTCCTGAAATTAGAAGGTAATTTTGTATTGCCAATGCCCCTAATTGATTCTGGAGGACTATAACAGTATCCTAAGTCCCAAATTATTTCTGTTTTTAAATGTAAATGATTGACACTTAAAAACAAGGGAAAACCAAAAGACAATCAGAAACATAAACAGGTGAAATGAACAAAAAATTTTAAGAAAAGGACAACAGAGAACAGACCCAGACTTATCAGGGATCTAGATAAAACAATTTTTTATAGAAAAGCTTTAAAACAACTAGAATTGGGGCCTCCCTGGTGGCGCAAGCGGTTAAGACACAACATATGAAGCTGTCCGAGGCCTCTGCAGCATCGTTTCGATCCCAGCCAGGCAGGGGAGCTACCCACATGGGGCAGCAGACCTCTCCTGACTTGCCCACTGCTCCCCTCAGCAGTGTACTTCAGTCAATCTGCCTGTTCTGTTCCCCACTGTCTCTGGTGAAACCTCTCACGGCCCCCACCCTACAACTCTGGCCTGTACCCCAGCTCTTTAATGCATAAATAAATAAATCTTTAAAAAAAAACAACTAGAATTAGCATCCTCAAAGAAATAAAAATAAGATGGAGAATTTGGGCAGAGAGATGGAAGTTATAAGAAAGAACAAATGGAAATTCTATAACAAAATATAAAATGACAGCAGTTAAAAAAACGATGGATGGATATAGAGGCAAATCAGGCCCCACTGAAGAGAGAACTAATCGACCGGAAGACAAATTAGAATATATCCAGAATGAATTGTGAAGGGACAAAGACTGGAAAACACAGATAAGACAAAGTATGAAACTGAGGGAGTATCATGAAAGGTCAAACAAAGTGAAACCACAGAAAAGTAAGAACTGAAAGCCAGGAAGCAGAGAAAGGAAAATATGTAAATAAAAATGAATGGGAACACAGACAAGTCAAAGAATGGGGAAGGAGATTTAGAGAATATCATTTTTCATAAATAATATTTTTCAGCCCAACCTTATTACAGTGGGGGAATCTGAAACCTGGGGTGACGATGGGTACTTGTAGTAAGTGATCCATCAGGAGTCCATCCCAGCTCTCTAGGATGAGGCCCTTGCCACTGATGTGGATATGAGAGGGAGGAAGATATAGAATATTATAGAGACTGAGACCTGCTGGAAGTCAGAAAGGAGAGAGAAGAACTCGAAGAAGGGCTGATGGGTAGTGAAAGATCTAGTAAAAGACAGATGGGTCTTTTACTGTGGGAGACAGTGGGTTTTCTCAAATAGGGAAGTGGGCAGAGGGCAAAGATTCTGCTGGCAGAGCGGGGGATGATAGAGTGTGAGACTGAGCAGAGCTGTCTCTGGGGGGAAACCACCCAGTAAAGTGTACTTGGGGGACAGCCAGCTAAGAGCTCAAAGGTAAGCATGAACGCCAATGGGAAGATTGGGAGCTGGGGCAGGCTGGTGACAGAGAAAGGGTCCCAGATAACCCCTGGATGGCCAGGCCCCCCTACTCATCTAATTATAGGATACCCACTCATCACAGATTATTCTGTCGGGATCATGAGTCTAGAAGGCCAATATAACACCTCTTTTCTCCCTGTTGCATTTCATATACTTTTCAGACTCTTGGATAATACTCATACTTCACTAGGCAAATAGCCTGCCAACTTCCCTTCTCACAGGCCCCACCATTTCTTCCTCCACTTTTTTTGTTGTGGTTTGAGATAGGTGAGACTTTGTAAATAAAATTGACTTACTTTGGAGTTAGAATTATTTTTCATGAAATTCATTGAAATATTTTAAGCATGAGCTCGATATGACACATTTCATGCTTCGACTCAGAGTGCTGAATAATAGAGAGAGGGAAGGGTTTGGCTGCAATGTTCAGCTGAGGGATTGTGGCAGAAATATACATCATATATGATGAAAGCAGAACTAAATGTCAGTGAGGTGAGAGGAGGGGCAGATTTTACAGATGACAGGGAGAAATGATGTGGTGGCCATGGGAATAAAGGAGAGGTAGGTATTGAGGGAAGGAGGGGTTTAGCTTTCCATTTGGATGATTGGATGGGTGTTGCCGTATCATGGGATGCCTGCAACAAGGAGGACTTTCTTTAAATGTTTTTGCTTTTTTTCTCACTCCTATTCTTTCCCATGAAAACAGGGTGAATTAGCTCATTGGCGAGACCAGGAAAGAAATGGTCTACAATATGCCCAAATGCCATATTTCCACCCTTTACTTCTGGAGCTAAGTTGCTCTCAGAAGTGTCACTTCTGGCCTCCTCCCTGATTAACTCTCACAGCAACATATTCTCAGGTGTGGAGGTTTTGATGTTTTCCATCAGTACCCTGACAGAGAGAGACGATTAGTCTACTCAGGCTGCCATAACAAAATGGGTGTGTTGGGCCACAGACATTGGTTTTCCTCACAGTCCTCAAGTTCTTGAGACTTGAGGTCGTCAAGGACAAAGAAGGTAGGGGAAGAGGGAGTGTATTTTTATCATATCACAAAATTTAACTTCAACATGGATTTAAAAAATATATCTATGTGTGTGTATACATATTATTTTTTAACAAAGTACTATTGTTTTACATCTTGTTAATTTTTTTTTTTTTGACAGTAGAGGATTTCTCCCCTCAGGTGTGGTCACTGTGGCTTTCCCACCACCAAAGCACCTATAGTCCATCACCATGTCCATTGTGCTCTTCCCTGTACTCTACTAACCTCTTGCCTTCCTCCTCCTTCCTTCCTGGATGTCTGAGATCTATGGTTGGCTTTCAAGGGTTGGCTTTAAAGCTTGCTTTTGTCTGACCCTTTGTTTGGTTTCTCTGTATTCCACATGTAAGTAAAACCATCAGTCATTCATCTTTCTCCTTCTACTTGTTTTGCTTAGCATAATCCGGTCAGGCTCCTCCACCTATGTTGCAAATTGCATGAGTTTATCTTTTTTTGATTGCTGAGTAGTATTCCATTATCAGCACTGATTTTTAATGTCTCCCCATGTAGGTATCATCTTGAAAGCTGTGTTTTCTGACCACTATGTTCTAGTACCATTGTACATTACACAAAATTTAGTGCCCCAGGTATAAAAACATGCTGGTTTTCCAGGACTTTAAATTATGACACCCCGATAGCTTGGTAGTCAAAAGTCCTTTCTAGAGAACATTATTCTTAACAGACTTTTATCTGAGATTCTATACACTGAAATAACTAGCATTCAAATTCTTGGTTTAAATGTACTTTGTTCTAAATCAAAATCAACAAGCAACTATAAACCAGAGACACACTATGGGGGGGGGCGGGGAGGAGAGGAGGGATTAGGGTCAAAATAAGGGGGGTGGGAATTGTATGGGGAATATAACCAAAATAAAAGTGCATAATACATTGTGCAAAAATGAAAAACAATGTAAGAATTATATAAAATAAAATAATTTTTAAAAAGAAAAAATATATACTTTTTTCTGTAGTTTAAAACTACAGAATAATAGAGTGAATACACTGTCTAGCTCTTATTTTCACATGACTACGAAGATACTGCTTACTAAGCATGTACTCAGGTGTAGAGGCAGAGTTAAGTGGAGAAACTAGAAGATTTGAAATCTGTTAAAACAAGCAGCCCTCAGGGAAACCACGTGGTTTCTGTTCTTCATTTGTGATATGAGATGCAAGTCCAGAGGTGAGGGGACCTTTTGATGTCACTTACAAAGTTTTCCACCGCAGTGAAAGGAGGAAAAGTCGACAAGATGGAGGCAGGCGATAAGAAACACATCCGGAATCTAGACCTAGACCAGAGAGAACAACCGTAAACCAGACTGGAGGGGCGATGAGAGATCGAAGAGGAGGTGCAAGGATGAGCAATGTGGCAGACTGCGTGGCAGTCAGGGACTGGGGGGCAGGAAGGTCTGTTGACAGAAGAAGGAAGTCAGGCTAGAGATGTTGAGGGGTAGGTTTTGCTGAGAACGGAGAAGAAGAAACACCTGCAAATGACATGCTGTCTCTGCAACTTGTGTTTCTAGCTGTTCTTTCAGGAGGTGATTATGTAGAAGGTAAGGACAACTGTGCAGGTGGGTGGATTTGGGTCGAAGGTGGCAGCTTTTCCCAAGGTGGGTCTAGATTGTGAGGACACAGGAGGGCTTGTAACCTGAGATAACTGTCTCCAGGGCCAGTTAATGCTTCTGAAAGTGGGGAGAGGGCCTGGGACATCAGGAAAAGGTCACTGTTAAGCTAGTCTAGAGTTTCTCTCCCTGGTATCTTGGTCACCTTCTATCTTCTCTCCTTTCTGCTTGCCTCTTTTTTTTTTTTTAAGTATTACAAGTATATATTTATTAATGAGAAGAAGTGGGGTGCAGGCCAGAGGTGAGGGGGTGAGAGGATTCAACAGAGACAGAGTGGGGAACAGAGCAGGTGGATTCACTGAAGTACACTGAGGGGAGCAGCGGGAGAGACAGGAGAGGTCTGTTGCGCCATGTGGGTCACTTCCCTGGCTGGGGATCGGGTGCAGTGATGATGGTATTGAGACTTAACCCCTAGGCTTCTGGGGAGGTCCTCTGCTTCCTCTTCTTATCACTAAACTATCTGACCTTCTACCCGTAGCTCTCCAGGAACATGCCTTGTTCCATGTCATCCAGATCTCATCCTTTGTCAACCAGTCCTGGGCACAAAATCAGGGCTCAGGTTGGCTGAATGAATTGCAGACTCATGGCTGGGAGAGCAAAACAGGCAGGATAATTTACCTGTACACTTGGTCTAAGGGCCACTTCAGCGACGAGGAGCTGATGACCCTGGAACAGCTATTCCATTTCTACTTGTCTGGATTAACTCGGGATATTCAAGAGTATGCGAGGCAATTGCAGTTCATGTGTAAGTTCAGTCCATTGAGGCAAATCCTTCTGAAGTTCTTCTGTTCTGGGAAATGTTCTCATATCTTTCTGGACCATTTTCCATTATTCCTAGCCTACCATCACAATCTCCACGCATAAACTTCTTGTGGCTTATTCCAGATGTTGACTCCTAAGCATTTCCTAGATTTTGGACTCCCTTGTTTTCTCCTGGACTTTTAATGCTTCCCCAGTGTTTTCCTTTCCATGGGTCACAAAATTGTCCCACTTTGGACTTGACTCCCTTAAAAGAGGATTTCTTCCACCACTCAACTTCTTCAGCAGTCTTTGTTCATAGTCTGACAACCATTATGACCCATTTCATGCACTCTGGAAAGCTGTACTCCCACTTTATTCACACGGATTCCCCTCCACCCCATATTCATTTCCCCCGACTCCTCAAATCAACTCCTAATTCTTAGTATGTGTCTTTTATGCCCTCTTCCACATGCCACTAATTCTTTTTTCACCTTGTTCTTGACCAAAAACATCTGGCTCATTGGCATACCCATATTAAGCCCTTTTCTTGTTCTACTGTTTTTATAAGGCCCTAGGTTCTCACATTGTTCCTACCATTTTTTTCATTAATCTTTCTTCTTCCTCTCCCCAGATCCTTTTGTAATACAGGTGACAGCTGGCTGTGAGTTGGATTCTAGGGACACCACCAAAGATTTCTTCTGGGTAGCTTATCAAGGATCAGATTTCCTGAGTTTGCAAAACATGTCATGGGTCCCTGCTCCAGAAGGTGGGAGTAGGGCTGAGAGAGTATGCAGTGTAATCAATCACTATGATGGATTCAAGGAAACAGTGGACAAGCTCGTCAGAGACATCTGCCCTCGCTTTGCTTTGGGTCTCCTCGATGCAGCGAAGCTGTATCTCCAGAGACAAGGTCAGTTCAGCAACTTCCACTAAGATCGATCTCTTCAAGTCTTGTCCCTTCCCACCATCCTCTTCCAAGTTAGGATAAGCAAGAGTTCAAGAGGGAGGGGGGGTGCTGGATAAGAGGTTCCCAGAGGAGGGTAATGTATGCATATTAACATGGCTTTTGTGTTCCTTAGCTGTGTGTTAGAACCCTCATGTAAATACATCTTCTCCCCTCTGCAGTGAGGCCAGTGGTCTGGCTGTCCAGTAGCCCCATCCTTGGGTCTGCCCAACAGTTGCTGATTTGTCATGTCTCTGGCTTCTACCCAAAGCCTATTTGGGTGATGTGGATGCGGGGAGATCAGGAGTTGCCAGGCACTCAGCGAGATGTCCTGCCCAACGCTGATGGGACGTGGTATCTTCGGGTGATCCTGAATGTGGATGCTGAGGAGGCAGTAGGCCTTTCTTGCCAAGTGAGGCACAGCAGTCTAGGAGGCCAGAAGATCATCCTCTATTGGGGTAAATAAGACTGGATCTGTAAGTGTGAACAGGCAAGTCTTGAACATAGAGGACAGAGAAGAGTAAAGTTTCATGATGTCAGAAACAGACGAGAGAGGGGCCTCCCTGCTGGTGCAAGGGGTTAAGCACCGCACTATGAAGCAATCTGCAGCCTCTGCAGCATGAGTTCGATCCCCAGCTGGCCAGGGAGCAACCCACATGGCGCAACAGACTTCTCTTGTCTCACCTGCTGCTCCCCTCAGCAGTGTATTTCAGTAGATCTGCCTGTTCTCCTCCCCACTCTGTCTTTAGTGAATCCTCTCACCCCCCTGTACCTCTGGCTTGTACCTAGCTCTTATATGCATAAATAAATAAAACAAATCTTTAGAAAAAAATAAATAGATGAGAGGGATGTCAGGAAGGAATGAATACAGATTATTTCTGGAATGTAGGAATGGAACGTGAGGGCCACTCAAGTATAAGGGACTTGGGGGTGGTGTGGAACTCTACACTGAGTGGAGATGGGAATAGAGTGGATTATTGATAGGACTCACACCCAGTGCATATATTAATGTAGGGAAATCATTGGATGGAGTCATGTTAGCTGTGAGTTTAAAATGACATCTGTGTGTCTCTTTCCAATTTTTACAGGACATCACCCTTCCATGAACTTGACCCTGTTGATACTGATCATACCTTTAATGCTTCCAGTAGTCCTTGCATTATGGCTTAAGAAGCGCTGGTGAGTTCTTTGTATTTCTTCTTCTTTTCTCAGTTTCTTACTTCATATTCTATTTTTACCTCTCTTTGCTTTTATCTCCTGACTGCTTCCCTTATCCTCCAACTTATCCAGAGTTTCTCCCAATCTCTTTTCTCTCACAGCTCATATCTAGGTATCACATGAGAGTCCCACCGTGCCTCTTCCTAGCAGTGAGAACCCAGTAGCCCAGGAGCCCAGGACTACGGTGATGCTGTCTTTTTTACTCTCCATGTATCATCATCTGTTAATACAAACTTGTTTCTGTGACTCTGTACATAATGCCTTTCTTGTAGTCTCCGTTCATTCAATAGTACTCAACCTTCAAAGCCCGTTCCTGACATCACAAGCTTCTGAAGTTTTCCTGATCTGTGGGTGGGAAGCAGTCTCTCCCTCACCTTACCCAGACAGTTTCTTTTAGTTAAAGAAACTGCTATATATATATATACGTGGTGTCTTACCTTGTGCAGCTACTCAGGGAAAATCAGACCCAAGCTATTAAGTCATCTGCAAGTTGAATTAATTCTCAGCTTGACAGTCTTTCTCATATCCATTCCTGACATCTTGCAGTATTTGAAACAGTGATGATTCTCCTTCTTGTTTAAATGGTTTTCACTTGGGCAAACAATTCCACATTCCTTGAGCTACCTCATTTCCTCCCTAAATTCTTAAAGAAAAATGCAGTGTTGCTCCTTGAAACACTTATTTCCTAAATTCAGTGAGCCAAATCAGTTAGCTTTATGTCAAACACAAAGAGAGAATATGCAGGCCATGTGGGAGGGGTAAGGAGGCAGATATGTCATTGAATGTTTAAGAGAAAGGAGCAAAGACTGGTCCTCAGGGTTGGGGGGATCAAGGCACAAACACACGTATAGAAGACATGCGCCTTAAAGGGTGGTGATATCCATGACACCGTTGCCTAAACTTTGATTCCTTTGTGTTCATTTGACAGTCAACTAATGTTTTTAAAGCAATAACTATGAGACAGGCCCATAACTTGTAAGCAAGCAGAGGAGAAAACAATGAAGATTGTAACCACCTGCCTGAAATTGCTATGTTTACTTCTTCAGCCTGTCCATGTCCTTTTTACTGGTTTGATTATTTAGTTTCTTTAAATAATTTTTGAATCACTTTATGGATATGTAAAATAAAGTAAAATACATCTATTTTGTGTACGCTTCCATTTATTTTGACAAATGTGTACACTCCATGGATACATTACAAATGTAAGCACAACAGTATCCCTATTAAGATGTAAACATTTTCATTAGCATGTAAACATTTTCATTATCCCAGTGAACATCCCAATTGAACATCCTTGCATCTACTGACATGCCTTGTGTTAGTTAAGTTAGATCTGTTTTTTCTCTAATTTTATTAAAATGGAATAAACTGTATGCACACTTTGTATCTGGCATTTTTTCACCTAGCATATGGTTATAAGTCAACCATGTTGCTTGTTGGTATATCAATAACTTACCTCATTATAGTGCTCAATAGAATTAGATATATGAAGATTTAGCAACATTTTTATCCATTCACTCTTTGATGGACGCTGGTTTAATTCTAGTTTAAGGGTTTTTGAGTAAAGTCATCATTATTATTTATTTTTGTGAACTGGAAATAAAGTTATATTATAGCTAGACAAAGAGTTTACTAGATAATCAAAGTGAGGATTTAAGCCAGGAAGCACTCTGACAGACATAACTCTGTGAGAGCTATTCAATATACAAATTTGGATTTAGTTTATATAGGTAGGAACAGTGAGTCATTGATACCAAGAATGTAATTATTTTTGATAGGAGGAGTTTGGAGTTCTAAGTTGTCCTGACCTAAAGTTTTGCCAATGCTAGAGGAAAGCAATGCAGAATTTTTTCTTTTTCTAAAGAATGCTACTACAGAGATGCAAAAGCTAGATAACTACTGTTAAATCTTTGTCATTTGGCATCATGGTCATCAATGGGGGTGAAAAGCCTGACTTTCCTGCAAACATCAGATTTTGCATAATGGTTTCAGACATGCAGATGGTTTTGCTCTCTACAAGAGCGCAATATGTTCACATTTGTTTTACCTTATTTTTTTTGTTTCTTCTTTTTTTACTTACCTGTCTGACTAATTCTGTATATTCTGGCTGCCTGGTATTTGTAGCTACTGATGTCTCTGTTCGTTAAAAAAAGCAGAACTCTTTCCTTTTGGCTTATTTCATTGAGCGTATTTCCCTCTAGTTCCATTCACTTTGCTGTGAATGGTATGAGTTTATCTTTTTTGATTGCCAAATAATATTCCATTGTGTATGTATACCACATCTTCTTGATCCAGTCATCTATTTTTGGGCATTTGGGTTGTTTCCAGGTTTTACCTATTGTAAATAGTGCTGCAATAAACACAGGTGTACAGGTGTTCTTTTGAATCAATGTTTCTGTGTCCTTTGGGTAGATCCCTAGGAGTGGAATTGCTAGGTCATATGGTAGCTCCATTTTTAGTAGACTGAGGAGCCTCCAGACAGCTTTCCATAGTGATTGGACCAGTTTGTGCTCCCACCAGCAATGTAGGACAGTTCCTTTTTCATCACATCCTCGCCAACATTTGTTGTTGCTTGTTTTTTTGATATGTGCCATTCTTACTGGTGTAAGGTGGTATCTCAGTGTGGTTTTAATTTGCATTTCCATGATAATAAGGGATGTTGAACATTTTTTCATTTGGATGGTTTCACTTACAGCAGGAATATAGGGGAACCAAATAAGACATCAGTGTAAAAAATTAATAACAGTACAAAGCACAGCAAAGCAAAAACAGACAATTATAAATCAGAGACATCCTGCAGGGGAAGAGGAGGGAGAGGGATCAGAGGGAGGGAGGGAGGAGCACAGGGGACTGAGATGATGGTGCAGGGTGGCATTGGGGAAGGAAACCCTATGGGAAGTACACCTGAGGGGGTGGGGGGAAGCAAATATTATTTAAGAATGAACAATGATGTAAAAAAACAAAAAAATTATTGTATAAAAAAATAACTCAAGTGAAAGCAAACAAACAAAAAGAAATCATGAAATATCCATGAAACTTGATACTATAAGATTGTAGTGTTATAAAATGGTTATGTTTTGTGATAAACAAGAAATTAATTTTTAGTTATACATTAAAATGGAATTTATGTCACAAATAAAGTCCATATCAGAAAAGATAAAAAAAAGCAGAACTTTTCTTTTTCCTGCCTTTCGTCTTCCTGCCTCCTCTGTCTCCCTGGTCCTCTTGCCTTTCCTCTCTCCATTTTCCTCTCTGTCTTTCCCGCCCCTTCTATTTTATCTTTATTACTACTTCACCCCCTTTTACTCTTCTCCCCCACCCTTAATCCTTCCTACTTTCTCTTCCCTGGATACCTAGGAGTCACTCCTGAGTCATCATAGTTTAATAATTGCTAATGATTAGTCATAAGTTATGTCTTAAGTCAGAAAAGATTCCACCTTTGGTTGAGGGAATCTTATGCATTGAACCACAAATTAACCATTCAAGACCTTTCCAAGTCTGCTCTGACTTCTACTTTTTCTGCAAAGTGGAAGTTTGTCCAAGGGTAAGGAGAAAACAATAGCCCCCTTTAGTGTCTCCTTAGTTTTGTGATATTTCTATTAATAAAATTCCAAGAATAAGTGGGAGATATGTAGACTACACTATGGCTGTTTCATTTCTCAGATGTCTGTTAAATTTCAGTTGGCCTCTGCCTTAATCAGTATTGAAGCCTGAGGAGATTGTAATGACCTTTGATTTTTTTTTTTTTTTTGACGCCAATTTCTGTTGTTTTCTAGAATCTCCCTGAGCATGGCACCTTTTTATGGACTTCTAAATTGGTGTATCCTTCTGCTGACAGCAGGCTGCTGGTTCTAGCCTATGGCATTGCCAAGTCAGAGGAGGGATGGGAGCAACCTCGGGTTAAACTGGCCCATTGCTCTGAGTTTCATGTTGTTCTTAAATAAGCATTTATCAATATGTTGTACACATTTGATCATTTTCCAGGATTCTGACATGGCTTATTTTGAAAATTTTATCTAGTATTATCATTGATGGTTAGGAAAACAGTTAGCTGAGCTCCTAACTCAGCCATTGAGAATATCCTTCACATAGACAATTTACAACATTTAAATCAGACAAACAAATGAGTTTCGCTTCCTAAAAATTGAATGCAAAATGAAACAGTGAGCATAACCACTTACCAAGTTGGTGACATACGAAAAGTCAGAGACTATTTTCAGTGATTTTAAACGTAAATTTACTTATCCCTGGGGCCTGTACTCTAAGGTCAGAGAACAAATCTTAAATTGTTTTCTTTTTTTTTTTTTAATATTTATTTATTTATTTATACAAGCACTGGGTACAGTCAGAAGCACGGGAAGGTGAGAGAATTCACCAGAGCCAGAGCGGGGAACAGAACAGGCAGACTGACGAAATATACTGCTGAGGGGAGCAGTGGGTCTGGCAGGAGAGGTCTGTTGTGCCATGTGGGACCCTCGCTGGCGGCGGGGGATCAAACCAGTGCTGCAGAGGCTGTGGGCAGCTTGGCAGCCCAGCGCTCAACCGCTGTGCCACCAGGGGAGGCCCTTAAATTGTTTTCAATATTCATATTGTTGATGGTAATATTTGTGTTATCACTGTCAGACTGTCACATGTATATAGTCTAGTGGGACAAATGAAGACTACAGAGGATAATATACAGAGGGGTTCAATGAATATGTAATTGTTTTGATTCATTGGGAACCAAGATTTTCTGTGTGGAGAAGCTGAAAGAGATAGAGAACTAAAAGTTCTGTATTCTTCATTTGAAGTATTTATCCTTAAAAATAGTATTTATCCTTAAAAAAAAAAAAGACTCTAGCCATTTAAACAATCCAGAAATCAACACTAACCTAGTTATGGTTCCCACATGGTAGTTTCCTACAAGAGGAAACAGACAGCAAGGGAAATGTCTAGTTTCTAGTATGAGGCAGAAAATTTCTTTCT